CGCTGGTTGCTATAGTGATAAACAAGTTGGCTTATTAGGAAAAGGAACAAAGCACTAGGGAAAATTATTTCAAAATGGCCTAGTGCATACATAAACATGCAATCTTCTTCTTTGTCAGCTTGGGCAGCTGGTCTGGTTGCTTGTTGATGGAACAGCACAGAGCCCGTGTACACTGTTTTAGCAAGCTTAGCCTGGTCTCCGTTGCCTGTCTTTTCTGACACACGGTGTCCTGTCTGTGAGTGCGGGGTGCAGGGCCTTCACTTCTGAGTTGGATGATTAAATATCTTGGGGGCTTCCACAAGTGAACAGGATAGGAAAACGTGTTCTAGAAAAAGCATTATGTGATCTAATGAGGCTGAAATAAGTCTGAGGGAGCAGAAGAGGACAGAAGAAATTATGCTTTTGCCACATCCTGTGCTGTGGCTTCCTTTTATTTTCCCTTTCTTTGCCCCCTTGCTGATGACAATGTACCTCTATGCAGACACTGAGGGTAGCAATCTGTGCCTATCAGATGGCAGGACATTACTGTCTCTGTAGGATGCCTGGCTCAATCATTGGTCTTTTGGGCCTTCACTAAAAATATAATAAACATGTTCTCATTCAAATCCCTAGATACACACTGACTCCTCGGAGGTCAGGCTTGTGCCCTTGAATGCAGAGTAGACAGTGGATGCTCTTTGACCCTCCTTTGAGGTGCAGTCCCAATGCTCTTTTTTGGTGGCTAATCACACATTTTGATTGACTAAGCAATGCCAATAGGTGTGAAAGCAACTTGAAACTACACAGACATATTTAATTCAGACATGCAGGCTAGTGTTTTGCCTGCTATGATTTGAGTCACCCGTTCTCTGGTCTTATCCATCACAGAATTAGGTGCCTTTGCATGCCAGAGCTGATTACCCACCTTCAGTTACCACCAGCCTCTGCTGTTGAAAGAAAACCAGTAAACAGCCCAAAGAAATGAACCTTCCCTGGGTTTAATATATTCAGTTACAGCCATATGAAATAGGAACTATTTCTCTGCAACGTTTTATCCACTACTTAAAAATAATTGCACATTTTTATATGTTTATCCAACTGGTCTTGCTTCTGCTTCCCACAGGACTGTTACAGTTCTATCAGCTGTGGAAACTACAAACCAATGAATTTTCATAGCTTTATCTCAAATGCTATCTATAACTCTGACTGTCTTCCCAATATCTGAAAAAGATCAGTCTGTAATGTTGCAGCTAGCTTGAGCAAATTCTGGTGTTCAGAAACTGAAGGGAAATTCAAATAGAGCAAGCAAAAGGCTTGGCCAGTTTGCCTCCCACTCTCCCCGGTGTCATGTCCAGTGGTGAGGCCGGGTAGGTAGGCTGGGTGGCATTAGCAGGGTCTAGATGGAGCTGCCTGGTGGGTGCGTGACCTGAGCAGTGAGGGGACAAACAGCAAAAAGAACTGAGCTGTTTTCAGGAAAGTGGAACAACACATCTATGGCACAGCTACAGCAACTCTCCCACCATGCCTACCCCTTCCACAGATGTTGGAAAGACTGAAACCAATGAAGAAGAAAGAAACTGAGGCACACAACTGCTGATTAGCATTACAGTCCCTTCTGACTTTGTCCAGCCAGGAGATTTAAGAGTCTGCAGTATGCTTCAGCTTGAAAAAAGCCTCTATGGGCCTGTGGAGAATGTTCCCAGGAATGAGATTTCTTTTATATGTACATGCACACTGGCACGCACACGCTGTGTCAGGCATTCTGCTGCCAGAGCCAGGCATCCTCTGCTGGTAATAAGCACAAGGAACTGTAGTAGAGGTGGTTTGTTTTGGTTTTTGTAAAGCAAATGAAAAATTGGGTGACAAGTCTTCACACACCTCTAACAAAAATCTTTGGAGAACAGAGGCAGCAATCAGCAATACCATAACAGATGAGCCAAGCCATAAACTACTGCAAACAAACAGTTCTGGACCAGATCCTGAAGAGTAATGCCTGCCCACATGCTCTCATACAACCCAGAATATACACTGTACTGCATACTGCATGTGAAACCGTAGGAACAGCCTGAGTCACACAATGATTGGTACCATCCATCATAAGTTAGAAACTTGTCCTTTGTTTTGGAGTTGCATCTGAGGCCTCAAATCAAATGTGACAATTTTCATAATAACCAGGGCTAAGGTGTTTGGCAGAAAAAGCTATCTCTGAAGACAGTTTGTCCCCACAAATGGAGTCGTTATTTGACTGGGTTACTCCAATTTCCAAAGAAAGAACATTTTGCTTTGCTTATCAAGAAGCAACATTTTAATAAATAGCATTTGGCTTGCATGTAGTGCCTTCATTATCTTTCACCTTTCCATCTGAGATCATCTGTACCTAAAGATGACAGAAAATGCCCCTGCATTATTTGGTATTGCACGTGATGTACAAACCCCGAGCCTGCTCTGTAGCATGTGAAAACGTGTTACGGTGGCTCTGGGACAAAAAAAACAGTTATTGTGATTTGTCATCAAATTTGTTGTCATTGTTCAGCCTGGAGAAGAGAAGGCTCTGTGGGGAGACCTTAGAGTAGCCTTCCAGTACCTAAAGGGGGCCTACAAGAATGCTGGAGAGGGACTTTTTTACAAGGGCATGTAGTGATAGGACAAGTGGGAGTGGCTTTAAACTGAAAGAGGGGAGACTTATATTAGAAAGAAATTCTTCATTGTGAGGGTGGTGAGACACTGGCACAGGTTGTCAAGGAAAGCTACGGATGCCCCATCCCTGGATGTTGTTCAAGACCAGGTTGGATGGGGCTTTGAGCAACCTGGTCTAGTGGAAGGTATCCCTGCCCATGGCAGGGAGGTTGGAACTACAGGATCTTTAATGTCCCTTCCAACCCAAGCCATTGTGATTCCATGATGAAACTGTCGAGTGTCTCCTATGTTAGACATTACAGCTCTTGTGTACAGTTAGAAGCAGTAACTGCTACATTAGCAAGTGTGCAGAAACAGTCACCAGCTTTCAGGAACACAATTAAAGAGACTGAAGAACACCAAACAGTGCATTGAGACACCTCCCTGCTACTGAGTTAGTGTTTGTGCTCCTTCCTAAACTGCTGCAATGGCAGTCAGCTGTGCCTCTTGCTGCCTTCATTAAGGTCTTACAGTCGTAAACTATTAAGTATTCTCCCTGGGCTAAGTTCTGAATACAACACACAAGTCCACTAGAGATAATAATTTTGAATGAAAAATATCAAAGATTAAAAAAAGCATTTTTCAATATTATAGTATTTCTGGCTATAAAGAATGTCAAGTAAACACATCCATTTGTAACCCTTAGTTTCTAGGTTCTGCCCAGAAAGATTTTTAGGGTCCTGACATGGTATCCTAGAGTACCTGGAAGTGACTAGCTTTGAATTGACTGTTCCAAATGACTACTAACTTTCAAACAAGAGTGAACAACAGCTTTGTGGTATGTTGCTTTAATACATATGTTCACATTATTTGAACAAATTATCTCTGTAAATAGGATTGTACTGTAAATGAGAAAACAGTAGTAAATTCAGTCACTGGAGAAAGACGGTGGTGAGATGATTGTCCTCTAGATAAACTGCATCAGCACAAACCAGGCAACAGTAATTTCATGTGTGAGATGTTTCTGATTTGGATATATTGAACTACTTATGCCCGCTGCATTCCTCCGTATTATTTCATTAATCATGTAAGAACCCTTCCACTCCTTCAAGAAACCTGCTAACTCTAATTAGCTCTCTGCCACACGGATGTCCCTTCATTTGGACGTTCAGTGCCTGGTCCGGTGTCACCCTCACTTTGACACGCATTTCAGCTTACATTGCATCACTCCAGTGTCCTCTCTGTGTGCGAGCCCTCTGGGTTAATATGTCCTTTTGAATAACAAATTGATCGCAGATAGATATAGATGGTAAATATACATGGTGTCCACATTATCTGCGTTTGTTACACACATGCAAACGTGAAGGATGCATATAAACCAGAAAAAAAAGAAGCAGTAGTTTTAAGCCAAGAAGGCTGGTGTGAAGACGTGACTGATTTCTCTACCCCACACTATTCCTACCAATAAATCAATGCATCAGCCATGAATCACTGTTTCTTACCTCAAATAGTCCACAAGTCGATGAGCCCATGATTTGATTTAAGGGTAAACGTTTTAATCAGAGGATTACGGAGAATTTGGTAATGTGTGAAGACTGATCCTGTGCCTCTGTGGTTTTATGCAACGTGAAGTTTTAAAAGCGTATTTAAGCTGTATGTGTTTAGTTATGACAGCAGGGAGTGTTGAAAAATGCATCGGAAACTTCTCTTGCTAGGGAGGGATTCGTCAGAGGTTGTAGATGGTGCATTTCACGTGTGTCGCGGCACCTGATGCATGGCTTTGTCTCAAAATACAGACTGGTGGAAATACAAAATTCTCAGAGTGTTTTTTAAGAAGGTGCTCGCAAGGCCACCTGATTTACAGGGAAGCAGCACAACAGGAAAAGAAGGGGGTTGCAGTTCAGGCGACAGCGGGCGCGCAGGACACCGGCTGGGGTCCCCCGTGCCTCCGTCGGGGGCAGCGGACGGGCGGGCGGCCCCGACTGACGGACACAGCAGAAAACCGAGGGGAACCGCACTAAGCGGCCGCTTATGTACAACTTCTGCGGAGCGCAGAAATGCTCCTCCTTTAAAGAACCCGACACAAACATGAAGCGAGCGGCTGCGAGGGGTAAGTACTCGGGCTCGTACCCCTCCGCCCCAGCCCAGCCCAGCCCGGCCCTGCCTGTCGGGCTGCCGGCGCTGTCCCGCAGGAGGTGTCCCGGCCGCCGGTAAAGTTGGCGTCCGCCACCGGGGGTAGGAGCCCGCGCCGCCGCACCCGAGGGCACCGATGGCAGAGCCCCGCGAGCAGCCGCTTCCCCCGCCCGTCGGCGCCCGGGGCGGCAGCCGGAGCGGGGCGGGGCTGGAGCCCCCCCGGCCCCCGCCCGCGGGAACCCTCCCTCCCTCCCTCCCGCTTTCCCCTCCCCGCCTCTGCGCACCGCCAGAGCCGCCCGGGGAAGCGGCGGCGAAGCAGCCTTTCCCCGGAGCCCCGGCCGCGACGGCGCGGCGCCCCCGGCCCGGCCATGCTGAGGGCGGAGGAGGCGGCGGAGCACGGGCGGCCGCTCACGGAATAGAGGAGGAGCAGGAGCGGGGCCGGGCACCTGCCCCGCCGGGCTGCCGCAGGGCTCTGCGGGGTGCCCCGACCCGCAGGAGGAAGCGCTTCCCGCCCCGCGGAGGAGCGCGGTCGGGCCGAGGGCATCCCCGCCGCCCGCCGCGGCCATGCGCTGAGCGCCGCCGCGCCCGTCCATGGGGCGGCGCTGAGGGACGGCTCGGCTCGGCGCGGGGGGCAGGATGAAGTCCCTGTTCTTCAGCCGCTTCCTCCTGCTGCTGCCCTGGGTGCTCATCGTCATCATCGTGCTGGACATCGACAGCAGCCGGGCGCCGCTGCCCGCCCGAGCCCCCCGCGGCGGCGGGGCCGGTAGCGGAGAGCCCCGTTCGGCGGCGGCGGCGCGGCCCCCTCCGCAGCGGCGCCCCGAGGCGGCGCTCCCCACCATCTATGCCATCACGCCCACCTACAGCCGCCCGGTGCAGAAGGCCGAGCTCACCCGCCTGGCCAACACCTTCCGGCAGGTGGCGCGGCTGCACTGGATCCTGGTGGAGGACGCGGCGGCGCGCAGCGAGCTGGTGACCCGGTTCGTGGCGGCCGCCGGGCTGCCCTGCACGCACCTGCACGTCCCCACGCCGCGCCGCTACAAGCGGCCGGGGCTGCCCCGCGCCACCGAGCAGCGCAACGCCGGCCTGGCCTGGCTGCGGCAGCGGCACCAGCACCTGCCGCCCCCCCAGCCCGGCGTGCTCTTCTTCGCCGACGACGACAACACCTACAGTCTGGAGCTGTTCCAGGAGGTGCGTGCGGCTCCGGGCGGGGCGCGCGGGCGACGGTGCAGCGCCGGCCTCCCCTCGGGCACTCGCCGTTCCTGCCCCTCGTCGCCCCGCCCGGTGCCCGAAACCCGGGCATCGAAGAGCGGAGCCCGCTTGCTCCCGGTCTCGGCAGCGCTGCCGGTGTGTGGCCGCCCCTCCACGCCGTGACTTTAAGTTTCTTGTCCCTCTCTCCCACGCTCTTCAAAACTTTTTACTGCCGCCTGCTCCTTTTCCTGCAGAGCGAGGCAAGTTTAGGGTTTATACAAGGGACCCTGTGCTTGTGTTAAAGGTGGGATGAGAAGCGCTCTCTGATGTTTATTGTCTTCGGGCCGCATTCCTCCCCCCGTAGGGTAAACCCGCACTCGCCATCCTTTGCAGCTTTCTCTTGGCGCGAATGAATCAGCCCGGAGCCGGCTCCTTCGCACGGGGTTGCCTTTTTGAAACCTGACGCTTTTCAAAGCAGCAAATCGTCTGTGTAGTGGCCAAACACCCTTTCAGGAGCCTCTTTTGTGAAGGGACCTATTTCTGTCTTTATTGCAGCTCCTTGGTGAAGGGCTTTGTTTCCTTTTCTGTGGGAATTGGCTAGTGCTCGGGGGAGAGAGTATCCAGCTTGCTTTCTGGGTTCCTCCTGGCAGGAAGGAGGGGTGTGTAGTAAATTGGCGTAAAACAGCAGAAGAAAGATCGTGTACATCTTCTGTGACAGTTAGAAGAGTAAACTTGGCAGGAAAATGAGGAAGAGAAACGGAAAAGTAGATGAGCAGCAAATAGGGAACGTACAGGACTTCAGACGAGCTGTGGTCCTGGACGTTTTTTCCGCTGGCAGATGGTAGTGCATTACCCATCTTCTGCAGTTTGGAAGCATTGCGCTTTCTCACATGCTTCACAGTCAGTAGGTTTGAATGATCGCGATACGCTGGAAAGTGAAGCACGTGAAACTCCCGAGAGCAAGGTGTAGCAATGCTTACATTTAATTAGCGTTTAGGTCTGTGATGCATCCCTCTCCATTTCCAGCATGGGGGCAGGCGCAAGGTCCCCTTTCAGCAGGGATGCTCTACTTACTTTGCCCATTTGGCATTCAGCACTGAAGCTGCCGATTTGCAGACCTTTGCCTGGAGGCTAAACCTTTGTTGTAATTGATTTTCTTAAAACCTTGTGGCTGTGCTTAGTGCATTGTAATGCAGAGTAATTCGTGATGGGAGTGCCCACCTCTGTTGGGGATATAACACTAACCTGGTTCAATCTTAAGGAGTCTGTAAATTGATACCGAGAATACACTTTGCCACAATGAGTAGTGTAGGATGAAAGAGATTTTGAGATGAATCTCTACTTTTTATTTTGTTGGTTTTTTTTTGTACCAACCTTAGGGGCAGGCTAAACAGTATTGGGTAGATGTATCACTTGAGTGACCCACAGCTACTGAAAAGGGGTCCAGTCCCATTTATTCTCTTATCCTTTTATATTATTCTTCTGATTGCTGTGAATGATGAAACAAAAAGGTATAAATCACTTCTCTGATCAAATAGGCAGTGCAGAAAAGCAAGGGGATAAATCTGTCTGAAGGGTTAACCTTGAAAATTGCAAGCACAACAAGCAGTCTGTGTTTCTTTTTGCTAACGGGAATGGAGACCTCCCGCTCCACAGCCCTAAGGCTTCTCTTTCACCAGGCAGGGTTCAGCTGCTGAGGAAGAGGAGGCTATTTGGAGCCCTGCGTTCACAGGCAAACACTCACGAGTGAGTTTTCCCTGTGAAGTGCGGTGGTTGGAAAGCTCTGTTACAGGAGTGGGAAAGGAGTTTTTACTTCAGTGACCACTGCAAGTTCCCATGACCGTTTTCTGGGGTCAGTAACGGGCTGCGTGCAGGGTCTCTGGGACACGCTGCTAGTAACACGGGGAATGCTGTGTCGACCTGGCAAAGTGAACGGAAGTCCCTTGGCAGCTTTGCCAATGGAATGTGTCTTTACGGCGAGTGGGAGACTGGAGAGAGCCAGTACTCTTGTTTTCGGTCAGGTCACTGCTTGAGGGTGGGGGTTTTATGTTTCCTGCTAAAAAAAAAAAACCCATCAGCCCTCCGTCTTTATGGATTCTAGCTTGACAGCTCTGTGGTAAATCCCAGTCTCTCCTTCAGGAATTGATTGATTTACGAGGGTGAACTATGCTTGTCTTCTCCAAGCATGAGGAGAACAGCTTCTGAATGCAATGTGTGAAGATGAAATTTGGTAGTAATTCCTGTCATGAAAGGGGTGGTAGGGATACCTGAGAGGGAATTTTATTCGGCGTGCTACCCTGCCAGCAACAATTTCCAGACCTTCGGCCACGTATCTCAAAGGAGGTCTGGTAAACTGTAGTCTGCTCAATAGGGAGGGTAGTGTAAATGTAGAGGGATGAGAGGAACTCTGAATTCTGGTGCTACCACTATCCTGTGCTGGCTAGGTGATGTTCAGCATGTCAGTGATGCAGCCCTGGGACATGTGGGTCCCAACCTGCCTGCAGCAATGTCTGCTAGCATCTGCCTGCAAGCAGTTATGTACGTTTGCTGGCTTATGAAACAGTAGTTCTGTCTTATTTATAATGGCTTTCTTCTGAGTCAAAGCTGGTTTCAGTAACAGCAGTCAGCTTGGGGGGGGGGGGGGGGGGGGGGAACCAAGGCTGGTTAGGACTGTAGAACCAACATAAAAGAAACACTGGTGTTAGGGTTGTGCTTCTTTCAGAACTGCACTCAATGAAGGATCATGTTTAAAGCATCTCCTTTGCTGTGAGTTTCCCTTGTGCCATGACAGAAGATGGAGCCTTTTAAACAAAACAAAATCAACAAAGGCTTTACTGACAGTTGAGGTGTATAAACCATGAGGGCATGATCAAAAAAGGAGCGTGCTTTGACGTGAAATGCCATAAGAAACTTCTGAGAGCTTTTGATGAGGGAATTCTAATCTCTGTCCAAAGTACTTCTGTCTACTTATAAGTACTGTAAGTACTACTTATAGTAGTGGGTACCATGTATTTGATATGGAATGAACTGGGCCCAATAGACCTGGGCAAAATGTGTTTGATGGAAATTAGGAAAAAAACACAACCCAAACAAACAAACCCCCAAACAACGGCTCACAGTACTGTTTTGCTGGAAAATGTCACCATCTGTAGTAAATCTGGAACCCTCTGGTGCTGTTTATAATTGTCTTTTTTCCTAAGATGTTCAGTGGCATATGGGTATATAGCTTAGCTTTTGACTGGCAAACCTGTATCCTCAAAGTCAGATGGGCAGGGTCTGAGCAGGCTTAGTTGTCCTTTCTAGAACAGGGTGGAGATCCTGGTTTGTCTTTATATTCAGCACTGGATCTGCTGAACATTTTGTTAGGAAAGCCTCAGCTTCCCTGGAAAGGCTTCAGGGAAAGGACTGGTTTGTTCAGTGTTGTGAAGTGCTGCAGCAATGATGAAGTATTTTCAGGAATGGAAATGTGGCCTTTAAATTATTCCCAACTCTTTCTGCTTGAGAGTATAGCGGTGGTCAGGTGAAAAAAATTTTGCTTTTACTTTAATGCTGGTGGTTCTGTCGTGTTGTGTTTTGTCGTTTACTGTTTTGGGATCAGACCTCCAGAATAATTTGTTTTTCCTGTTCAGGTGTGACCTGTTCACCTGGAGGTGCCCATCTGCATCCCTTCATCAGAAACACCAGTCTGCTCTCTGAAAGTGTCTTTTATCAGTTGAATATCAGCCTGTGTTCATAACAAAGCCATTGAGAGCCCTGAAATCCAAACTCCTGTATTTGATATACTTTACAGATGTTTCTACATGAATCATCATAACTTCCCTTTCTGTTTTACTATAGGCTGTTCTTTTTGGAGTGACTCTGTTAGTTTCTGTTGCATTTGTGCTTCATCTTTTTCCTGAATGCCAGTTATTGTAATATTGTGACTAATGCCTAGCAACTGCCAATTTAATATTTTTAAACTTCCACAAAGAAAACCTTAGACAAAGCTGGTATTCCACCTTCATAAAGAGGTTTTAAAAACAAGGTTAGCCTAAGCACTGGAAACCAGTGATAGAATTGGCTAACTTCCACTTCTCTTAACTCTTCACATCATTCATGTTTTTCTGCATCTCAGGCATTTTCTCTGCCCTTTCCATGTTCTGTAGTTCAGGCAGTTGTCCAAAGGCTGCCACTTCCTTGGTCTATGTGTATAGAATTTGTATGCAAGATGGAGCAATTAGTGGTGGAGGTTCATTCAACTGTTGATTGTGCAGACTCCCCTGAAATCTTTGAGGGTGAGGGATGAGCTGCTTAAGGAGTACAAAGAACAGGAGTATGTGAGAAAGTGAGCTTGCTGCATTCAGAAGCACACTGATGTTTAGATATTCCTGTCTAGGTTGTATCTGTAAGGTTTGCTTGTAATTTGCTCAGACACCTAAACTGAGATGCATATGAAATGGAAATGCCCGTACCTAAACTATGATCTCCCTCACTGTCACCCAGCCCTTCGGTCACTGGTGTCTGGAATTTCATAGCCAGATCTGGTAGGTGCCTGGAACGGGCAGGTATGGTTCATACCACTGTCTTGTCCGAATGTGAACTGAGGATTTGCAGAATGGGTCTCCTTAGAGAACCCCACACTATAAAGTATGATCTGAATACAGCCTTGCAGCATGGAGTTCAAAGTAAATCACAGCATTAACTGTCATTTTGAAGATGGGGAAAAAAAGCCAAAAAAGACACAAATCAAAACCCAGCAAACTTTTATTCAACAGCTTAGCAGTTAGCCTTGCAGCCCTCTGAATTGGGGATCAGAATTCAGTCTGCTGTAGCTGTTGCCTGCACAAGAATGCCCTCACTGTGACTGCAGAGTTGAAGTTGGAAAGGAGGTAGGAGGAGAGACCTCAACCCCTTCTTCTGAAGCTGAGGAGATCTTTGCAGTTAACTCAGGATTCATGGAGCCACGGAGAAGGTGAGAGTGTGATCAGGGAAGAGGATAGTTGGCTGGATTGCTTTTTGCA